TTGGATTTTGTTTTTTGTTTTGTTTTGTTCTTGGAAATAATATTTTTTTAAAAGTTGCCTTATTGTGGAGCGGGAATCTGAAATACCCAAATGCCTGTTTTCCTCGGCGGAGTCGCCTCGAAGAGCTCACACCTTCTCTGGACGTGCCTGGGCTGGCTTGGCTAGAATCTTTCTCTGGACTGAGTTGCATGTACAGTGCCTCCTGCCTGTAGGCAAGAGCGTTGGGGGCGGCTCCAGTGAGAGCCGTGCCCGGAATACCCCTGCTGTTGCATCGTTGGAAGCTGACGTCCTGTGTCTGTACTCTGCTGCCACTGTCGTGTCCTCGCTCTGCTTGCTGTTGCTTCGTGACAGGCCCCGTCCTGCCATGACACCCTTCATCCTACCCTTGGGACCCCAAGGCCAGGTTGGCTTCAGACTGTTGAAGAAGAGCATTGGCCTGGACCTGGGACACACTTGGCCTCAGCATGACCGTCTCCCCCCTCCAAGGGGAAGGGCGAACACCTGGCAGCTGAGGCTTGGAAATGTGTTGCCCTGAGAGATCTGAGACCTCAAGGAGGCTTTGTCTCCGAACAGGTGGAGAAGGATGCCCTTCTCCTCCCTCGGGTCTGGTGGGGTCTCCCCATCTTGCATCCCCCCTCTGCAAGCCACCTCTGCCCACCCTCCAATTGACCCTGCCTGGGAACGAGGGATGAGGAGGGTTTGGGGGCTGGGGGAATCCTGCCAGTTGGAGAAGCCCCGCGACAGGAAGGTATATGTGGACATAGAGTATACCTGACTCCTCTTCTCCAGCCACTGACTGCTTGGGTTGGGCTGTGAGTGATAATGGAATGGCTGGAGTTCTCCTGGCACCCGACGCCGGGGAGGGTGACGAAGGACTGACCCCACAGGTTGAGCTGTGTGCCGGCTATGGCCATGGCGGCGCGTTCACCACCGGCGGGGCCCGGGCGGCACAGAGAAGCTGATGGTGGGTTGCTGCACCGCTGACACGTGTCGGCCCAAAGACTGGGAGCAGGGGACAGTATCCCAGGCTGGCATGGTCTTGCCCTCTGCTTTTAGCCTGTGCCCTTCCCTACCTCTGCCCTCCCAGTGGTTCGGATGTGACCCGCTGGTCTCGAGAGTCAAGGATGAGTGTCTGGTCTCTGCTCTGAAAGTGGGATCTGGGCCTTTCCCTGCTGTCTGGTGCCTGCCCCACGTTGTACCAGACACCGGACTCCTGCACCCCCTCTTTCTTCCCTTTTTACCCCCTTTCTTTCCTTCGGATCGCTCAGCCCTGTACTGTATCCAGCACCATAGAACCTCAGTGTTTGTCCTCTGCTGGGTTTGGGGGCACAAGGAAGCCTTGGGGGTGTGCAGAAAGGCTTTTCTCACCTAGAGTTTTCTCCCAGGCCAGGGGGCTGCCATCCCCTCTCTGATCCTCCCACAGACACCCAAGAGAGAGGAAGCCCCTTCCGGGTGGGAGGTGAGGACTTCATCTCAACGCAGGCTGAGGATGGGGGGAGGGTTTTTTTTTTTTTCCCCTTTGTTTTTTTGTAACATGTTAGGAGTTAATGTTGCAAAGAGTAGTTTACATCTTCACTTTCTGAAGACACTTGAATTTAGGACCGACGTATCTGTGACAGGCATGCCAGGAGCGGCTAGAGCCATCGGGGCTTGCCGCTTCTCACCCACCACCCTCCCGTGGGGGTCCAAGACCTGAGACACAAAGCAGCAGCCTGCCCAAACCCTTCTGCTCATCCTGTACCCTTCCGTGACTGGTCCACGCCAATACGACCTCTGGGCATCAAACATCACAAGGTCTGTGTGCCTCAGCCCTGCTCGGGCAGGTTTCTCTCGCCCTCTTCTGACCCTGGGAGCAAACGCACTACCAGTAGAGAGTGGCTGCCTGGCCCTGCCCCAGCCTGGATCCCCGGGGCTCAGGTCCAGGTGCTGAGCCCCCATGTCAAAGGTGTTAATGTTTTTGTTTTGTTCCATTGTAGCTCTTCTTTTTTTTCCCCCCTTTCCTGATTGATTTTACAAAAGTAAGCTGCTCAGAAGGCCCTGGAAGTGGGGAGGAGGGGCAAGGAAGACGGCTAGAGGAGGGGCGAGGGCGGATGAGGGTGGGTTTTGGTTTTGGTTTTGGTTTTTGCCAAAAAGCCTGGGTACAGCGATCTGGATCATCTGGTGCCCTCGTGAGTGGGACCCGAAGTATGTCCTGTGTGGAAGGGTCCCTGGATTTGCCCCAGCCCCCACGCTCTCCTTCAGCCATGTTGATGGCAGAGGCAGAGAAGATCAGAACTTATAGCCCATTTCTCACTGGAGAGGAAAACTTGTCATCTGGCTTTGCGGAGAAGGTTCCACCTTATGCTCATAGTACATTATCTTTACCATGTGCTAGGATATCACATTTAAAAGGACAAAAAAAATGTAAAATACTTGAATGAGCTTGTATTATAACATTAATATTATTGAGAGTATCTGCTTTCCAGGCTGAAGTGATTCATTCATTATTCTAGTCCTGCTTTAGTCCTTTGTAATTTGTGGTAATTATGCTTTTCTTTTTAATACAAAAAAATGTATAAAAATAAAAACTTGAAAAGGCAAAATACTGGCTGGTCTCCCATTTGAGGTACAGCTCTTGAGGGATGGAGCCTGGTTAGGGTTCCCTCAGATCCAGGGGAACCTTGCCCTCGGAATGTGTACATGAAAGCTTTGCAGGGCTCTGCCATTGGGCTTGTGAGGAATCTGCCTAGGGAACAGACTCCCGAGGCAGCTAATGAATGCATCCAGGTGAATTCCTCAGTGCTTTTGAGAGCTTCTGCCAGCCTTGAATTCACATCCACCTTGTGTCCTAGGTGAGACACGGCGGCGATAGCCGGAGCCACAGAACGGAGAGCTGCCGGTCCAGCAGCTCTGGAGAGGTTCTGCCCACTTGCCTGGCTCCCGGAATTTCCATCCTCTGGCTGTGGCCTGGCATCTTGTAAGGAGACAGCCAGGAAGGTTGCCGTGATGCCTCATGAACGGCCAGCACAGCCGCTCACTGAACAGACTTCCCCGCTGGGGTGTAGAGGACTAACGGTTCAGCACTCTGTGGCCTTAGAGGAATCCAGGTCAGCCAGCGAGCCCTGAGGATTGAAGCTAGGAAAGGCTGGAATGGTGAATATACCCCACCCCACCCATGACTGGCCCCTGGGCTGTTGGTGGCTTTTCACTGACCCGTGAGGCCAGGCACTGACAGGAGTAACATTCGGAATGCTAGTCTGGCCTCGGTGCAGAATTACAAAACTACAGGTGAGGCATGGCCTTCCTTACTCAATCTGACAACTCATTCATGCCTGGCACTTGAACATCCCATCAGAAACGTTTTTCCAAAGAATTCCACCATTCTTCAGGTGGGCAGGTGCTTTAGGACCACCAATGGCCTCCGTAGGCTGAAGGAGAGTTTAGGAGGTGGTAACCAGGGCTTCTGCAGAGGGATTTGGGGACAGGAAGACAGACCCTACTTCCACAGCCTCGTAGGGATGCTCGTGAGAGTAGCCACTGATGATTAATTGCATTGCTATGGCTCCCAGAGATGCCACATGATCGGGAGCATCGGAACTAGTCAACATCATGGAGAGAAAACACGGAAGCACCTACTGGAATTAGAGAGACCAGTTAATTTTCCATGCCTTCCCCTTTCACCTTCATGAGGTCTGTCGGGAATTTGGTGACCTCAGCCTTTTCTTAAGCCTCACTTGTTCACTGGCCCCTCTGTCAGAGCCCAGCCACCTGGCTGCCAAAAGGGATGAGAGACTGACAGCCTCTTGACCCTCTACAGTACCTCAAAGTCTAAGACTCATGGGAAAAAAGGCATCCGTTCTTCCTCTTTCTCCACAGTCCTCATTCCCTACCCTTTTAAGTATACTGAAGATGGGCTATTTCCCAAGTGTTTACTTATAAGAACAGGTTGTGGGTGCGGGTTAGCAGCTGTGACAATTTAGACCACTGGTGCACCAGAAGCTGTACCTTAAGCTCAGGGCAGGCCCACCAAGGCCAGAGTGGGGCGGGTGGGGTTTGGAAGGCCAAGGAAGACATTGTCTGGTAAGCACCTAGTCGGTGTACTGGGCAGGTCTGGAGTTGTAGGGCTGATAGGACGGAAGGAGTCTTAGATCTGCTTGGAGACTTGATACTAAGGTATTTTATAAAACGATGGTTTTGACAGAGCTGAAAGTTCAGGAACAGATGCAAATATATAACAAGAATTTAGTAACTGATAATGGTGGTCTTCAAACTGTCCTTGGGAGCTGCAGGGCTCCTGACGATGGCTGGCTGCTGAGGGAAGGCCAGGCTGGGGACTGCTGCAACCCAAGCAGCTCTCCGGTTTTGTTTTAGATAATAAGGTTCCTGAGAAAGTTTCATTTGAAATAAATGGTGTTGAGAAAGCTGGTTAATCATTTGGGGGAAAATGAGGGTTTTGCCCTTCGGTCAGTCATGTTTTTCTTGCCTTCTCACTGGAGGAAGAGGGTTCTAGCCTCCTCAGTTGGGTGTCCCCAAAGGTCAGGAACTCTGACCCTTCCCTCTGTGGATAAAAGGGCCTCCAGCTTAGCAGGTTAACAGGGTTTGGCCTTTGGTTTCCATGTTTCCATGTATGGCTGAAGGTAGGTGTTGGGGTTTGGTGTGCACCTCTTTGATATCTCAGTTTTAATCCAGGGAGGAGCTGTGATTGGCATTTTTCTTTTCATAGAGGGATGATGTTTGTTTGCAGTGGGGCAGAATTGAAATGGGGCCTTTGTTAGCTGACCTGTTTTGGCAATGAGGGTGTCCTAGCCCTGGCCAGAGTAGGGTATGCGAAAAGCTTTTGAGGACAGGAAGGGGCAAAACAATACCTTCTGTTTCCCTCACCCCCTGGCACCCGGAACGCTCCCTGGAGTTGGCAGTAGCTTCCTATCTCGCTGCCACCTTTGCATTCTGTCTTGTCTAGGCCAGAAAAAGGTTGCCTGGGGTCATTTCTCCCCTTCTACAGCAAAGGACAAAGACCACTATTTTTTTTTTTTTTAAGATTTTATTTATTTGAGAGAGAAAGAATGAGAGAGAGCATGAGTGGGGGAGGGTCAGAGGGAGAAGCAGACTCCCCGCTGAGCAGCGAGCCCTATGCGGGGCTCGATCCCAGGACCCTGGGACCATGACCTGAGCCGAAGGCAGACACTTAACACTGAGCCACCCAGGCGCCCCTCTCACTCCATCTTCGGGGCATCCGGGATGCGCTCAGACAGTGGAGTGAAGCGCAGCAGGAGGATGTCTCTCTCATAGGCCTTGGTCTGCTTAAACACCGTGTCAGTCCCATGGAGGTGGTCCAGCACCCCCAGCAACCGATAGCACTGGCTGAACCTAGAGGAGAGAGGAAGGTGCGGGAGGCTGGTGTGCTGTTCTTTTCATTCGTGCCAGCCTCACATTTCTAAGCCTTCTTACGCCAAACCCATCCCCAACCATGCTGACCATCCCCATCAGAATATCCCAGGGAGTTGTACACATTCCTGGGGCCACTCCGGACTGAAAACCTACGCTCTCCCTTTGAAAAGCTATGTGAGTCCGATGCACACAAGTCAGAACTTGTGGCCGAGCTTGGCTTGTTCAGGTAGGTTCAGGGACCACCTCCATCAGAGTCCCCTAGAACAGTTACCAAAATGCAGTTTTTCAAGTCCTGCTGCCCCCCACACTTTGATTCCACATATCTGGAGTGGAACCCAAGAACCTGCATTTCATCAAGGTATCTCAGGTGATTATGGTGCTGGAGGTTTGTAGACCACACTTGCAAAAGCCTGGAGGCTTTCAGAGAGGACAACCCCTTGAATTGTGTGCAGTATTTTTATGTGTATATGCATTGTTCTGACAAGTGTCCATAGCTCACATTAGATACTCAAAGGGCCCTGGACCTGAGTAAAGGTTAAAAACCCGCAGCTGCAGGAAGACCCAGTGTCAGGAAGAAGGAAAAGAGCAAGGTGATCTGGATCCAGCATGGTCATTATTCTCCCAACCTCCAGACCTCTCCCTCTCCTAGCACCAGCACATTGAAACTGAAGTGCTGGGGTCATGTCTGCTCCTGGAAGCTCCAGGAGGTAAGGTGAAGGCTATTGCCCAGGGACCCATAGTGGGGAAGGAGGTCTTACTCAAGATGGTGGTAGTCATGGAATTCAGTTGAAGGCAGGAAAGGTAGGTGGTAGCCAGAGTGGGAAATGGTGGTGATGATGAGGGCGAAGGAGAACCACATGGTGATAGAGGACAAGTGGGAGCCCATTACTATGGGACCCACCATCAGCAGCAGCATGTTGGAGGCCTGCAAGGGGAGGGCTGTTTGAAGGTGGGCCCTAGAGAGATGGAGGGGACCCAATGGGTGTCTACTTTGCCCCAGGGTGGTACCAGGAAGACTTCCTTGACTCAGATCTGGAGAAGCTGAAAGAGTTGCAGGACCTTGATTCGCTGGAGTCATTCAACTTTATAACTTTGGGACAAGTTACTGTTTGAGATAACTTACATTGGGCATCTCACATAGACTAGGTCAACAATAAATGGTAGCTGCTGAATGGGAAGAAGGAAGAAGGGGCCACTGTGGTCTAATTCTTTGCGGGAGACCTTAGGGAAGGTGATTGGGGCCCTCTGCCCTTTGCCTGGAGGAGAGTTTTACTGACCACATGATCAATAGGGTGGCTGTAGAAAGAGACCAGGCCAATGGGAGCTGTCCACTCGGTGTTTCTTGTGGATTTTCTTGTAGAATGTTGGGTGGTGAAGGAGCCTGGAAAAATAGTTAGTAGTTAATAATCTGCCAATCTCCCTTTTCCCTTTCCCACCAGGCCGTGAGAAACCAAAGGTAGGACTATGGAGCAAAGTTACAAACGCACTGGATTGGCACTTGGACAGACCTGCCTTCGAGTTCTAACCCCACCTCTTACGCTGCATAATCTGGGGGTGGGTTACTTCACGCTGCTCTACCTCAGTTGTACTAGCTGTGGGGATGGTACGGATGGTGCCCACAAAGGATTCAATAAGGCAACAAATGGGAAACTGCCCCACTGCACACATGAATGCGGAAGGTTCTTTCTTTCCTGGACATTTCTCAGTTGCCTCAAGTTGTCAGTCGTGGAACCAACAGTTGTGTCCATGTTAACTAAAAAGAGGCTTTTGAGGCCAGGTGGTGTTGGTCTTGCACCTACAATTCTGAGGTCTCAGTTTCCTCCCTTAAAAGTGAGCCCTAGGAGAGTGAGGAGCCAGCTGTGCTTGGGCCGGGACCCGCTCACCGGTGTGTGTAGTAGAACAGGACTTCCTCAATCAGAGTGAAGATAACCAGCTCCAGGAGGAACCAGTGGAAGGTGGGTAGCTCTCGGTGGCAGGGGTCTCCCCACAGCTTGAGGATGGGATAGAGGAAGACCAGCATGGGCAAAGAGATCACGACCTGGTTGAAGAGAACTGTGCGGATAGACTGGCGTAGTTTCTCGGTGTCCACCTGCACGAGGTAAGGAAGGAGGGAGATGGACAGGAGTGTGAGAAGTAGGTCTTTCTAGAAACGGCTTCATGGTGACCCGCTCACAGGAGGCCCTCACTCTGGAGTGGGTGCTAGGTGTGACGTTTGGCCATAGCCAGCAGCCCCTCACTGCTGCCCAAGCCCTGGGGTGGAACCATCTGGCGATAACCCTGCTTTTGGAAACTCCCTTCTCAGTAGCCTTCAGTCAGCCTGAGTCTGCCTTCTCCTTCCTGCAACTGTCACCACTGTTCTCCCCATTTCTCTGGCCAGGCCCAGACGTACTTCCTGACAGGTACCATAGGGTGCCTCCAGGGTGCTTAGAGAAGGCTGTCAACTCTCAGGTTGATATCCTTATTCAGCCTCTGAGCCCCTCCTCATCCACAGAGGCTTGACCATGATCAGGTGCAGAGCAAAGTCACCTGCCTCCTCATGTGGCCCAGCCTCGCTGGACTAGGCCCAGAGTGATGAGAAGGTGAGCCAGAGAACTGCCTATCCAGGTCTTAACTGAACTTCCTGTGACTTGGTCTTCCTGGTTTTCATGGTGGGGCTGTCAGGATGGGGACCTGCCTGAGCATTCTGTCCAGGTTTTCTTTGGAGAGCTGGCCCCAAATCTCCTACCCCGCTGAGCCTCAATACTATAGCCAGCATTTGCCCAAGAATTAGTACCTGACCCTTCCCTTCCTCAGGGCACTGGGGCTCCCTGGAATAGCCCCATGACCACAGGTTACTTCCTGGGTCCCGATGAACTGGTTTGGGACTGGTCAGAAGGGAATTCTCCCTGAGTGGCCTCTGTGAGCTGCAGGGGTTCTGGCTGCAAGGTAAGGCTGAGTTCTAAGAGGTCCTTAGGCTTCAGGCCCTGCTCTTCCTCTAGCTTTTTCAGGTACTGCATGTACTAACTGACTCGAATCCACTCTCTAAGCTTTCAGTTCTATCCCATGGTGAAGCCAGGTCTGGCTAGCCTGGTTCGAGAGCACCTGTAGATGAAGCCATACACCTCTTCTGGAAATCTTGGCCGAGAGGAGGGCATCACATGTTTACTCCTTCATTTATTCAGCTGATATTTCTTGAGCACCCTCTACATTGCAGGCAGTGTCCTGTGTGCTGGGAAGCAAGCAATGAGCAAAACAAAGATTCCTTCCCTCATTGAATTTCTATTCCTGGCACCAACAATCTTAAATAGAATGGTCAGGGTGAGCTTTGTTGAACAAAGAGATGGGGATGGTGAGGGAAAAGATACCTGGGGGGAGAGAGTCTTCAGGTGAAGGGCACAGCTGGTGAAAAGGCTCTTGGCCCATTGCAGGCATCCTTGACTGGAGAGGAGTGCGAGAAGTAGGAGGTGAGGCCAAAATGGTGGGGAGGAGCGAGAACATAGAGGGCTTGTAGATCATTGGGAAGACTGGCTTTTACTCCAAGGGAAATGGGGGGTCATGGTGAGCAGAGAAGTGACAAACTCTTACAGGATTACTCTGGCCACTCTGTTGACCACAGACTGTGGAGGAGGCAAGAATAAACACAGAATTGTGGCCCTATAGACAGAAGAGAATGACAGCTCAGACCAGTGGAGGTAGTGAAGGGCGGCCCTGCCATGAACTCAGACTGGGGAGGTTGTGGGTAACAGTCTTTGAGGGGATGAACAGAAATTCTTTTGGGGACATGTTGGATGGGGGTCGGCAAAGAGGCCTTTGGCAATCTGAGCCTGGAATTCAGAAGAGAGTTCTGGGCTAGAAACAGGAATCTGTGAGCCGTCGGCATAGAGATTATATTGCAAGTCATGACCCTGGAAAAGAGAAGTGCGGGAGTGAAGACAAAGGTGGGGAGCAAGGCCTGAACCCTGGGAAGCTTAGCATTAAGAGGCGGTGGAGAAGAGGAGAGACCAGAAGGAAGATTGTGAAGGAGCGGCCACTGAGATAGGAGGAGAAGTGGAGAAGCCAGGTAGGAGAATATATAGCGAGAATGTGGAGACATGCAGCTGTGAAGACGTGCCTGCTAGGGCTAACGAGAGGAGCCTTCGAGAGCAGTGGGGGTGGAGCAGTGGGGGTGAAGGCCTGACCGGAGGAGGTTCACAGAAGAGGTGAGATGATGGGTTTGTGGTTATTGGGGATATACCGGCTGAGGGATTGAGGGTGAGGTTTGTAATGTTTGGAACTTACTTTCAAATGGGTAAGCTAAAAATTATAGATGCATACGTATTTGTATTTTTACATCTAGATAATGCAAATACTGTAAAATGTTTAAAAGTGAATCTAGGCGGTGCATGAATGAGTGATCATATACTCCTTTTTTTCAACTTCTGTATCTATGTTTACAATTTTTCATAATTACAAAATGTTGGGAGAAAAGCGTGGACAGAGAGGAGTTGGAAACTGTACAGACAACTCTTTCCTAGAGCCTGGTTGCAAGTACTTCTCGCAGGCTGATGTAGAGAGAGTCTGTGAGATCTCTCTTCTGCTTGCCCATTTCCTTAGTGAAGGAGGAAGCGAGACTTCCTGCAGGTCAGGGAAGGAGGTGTTGGGGATGTGAGGAAGGAGGAGAAGGTGCAAATTGGCTATCCAGGAGAGCGGGAGAGCAAACAGGGCAGGGGGCTGGGGGCCTGCAGGGGCCCATGCTGTAGGAGCACTGGACCTGGAGTCCGACGAGAGGAGCCCTGGCTCTGCTTCCTAGTGACACTCGGACTTTGAGCTAGTCACTGCTCCTTTCGGAACCTCAGCTTCTACAACATGCAACCAGACCTTCCCTGTGTGGCTCTCCAACCACTGTAGGCTGTCACAGTGAATGTTGTCATGGTAGGTGATACTCTTGAGAGCTGATGTGGCCTGCTGATGAGAGCATGAGCCCCGGGGTCAGAGAGCTGGAGCATGAATCATCTACCCATGTCACACCTCAGAGCCTGTTTCCTCATCTGAACCATGAAGGTTATGACAGTACCTGGCCTTGAGCATTTACTCCATGGGGTCTGATAAGGAGACCGCCATGGTCTGACAGATGAAGGGCTCTCAACAGTCAAGTGTTGGCTTTGACACGTCAGCCCCAGTCCATGCCTGCCAAGCTGGACCTGGAGGAAGCCCCCCTGGCTGGCTGGCAGTTACTGTCTCAGGTGAGTGGGGCCTTGAGCCTGGCCAGCAGCCCTGGTTCAAGAAGGGGCTATTCCGAAAGCCTGGGTCAAGGGCATTATTTTTCACCCATTCTGCTTTCTGCAGTGCTGGGCTGGGGCAGAATGCCCTGATGCTGAGATGAGCTACCTAGGCACCCGGACCGATAATTAAAGATGATTGTCTTCTCTGGGAAAGAAGCCAGAATGTGGTTTGAGTGGAGCTGGGGAAAGAATCTGGGGTTAAGAATGAACTTCTTGCATAAGAAAAGGCTCTTGGAGGTTGTCAGAGCACCAAGCAGATGACTGGGCTCAGAGCACAGTGCGGCTCCCTTCCAGCGCTGTGTAAGTCGAAGACGTGTGTACTGGCCTTCTCTCCCCTACTGGGCTAGGAGTCCCTTGTAAGCAGGGTGCAGGCCTTGTTTCGTGGGGCTAAGCTACGCACCGGCAGTTGAAGTGAATGACTTGGAAGGAGGACCTGCTTAAAAAGCAGCCACCGCCCACACAGTCAGACCCCTGTATCCACAGTGGGCCAGCCACCATGTCATCGTGCTTTCGGCATCCAGCCATTGCCGTCCCTACCCTGGTGGCTGAGCCCATCATTTCGGTTCCCCAAAAGCTGACCGCAGTGCTGTGGGGTGGCACAGACAGACACAGGGCCAGGGCTGGGAATCAGGAGACCAGAACATTTGTCCTGCCTGGCTGGCTCTCAGATCTGGGGCAGATTATTTCCTCTCTCCAACCTTCTCAGCCAGGGGAGCCTTGTACCCAGTAACTTGGCTCCCGGCGGCCACGCTCTCTCCTGGGCCTGCGGTGAGCATTGTGAGTGTGGCTTCCGCCCTTGCCTTCTGTGCTTTGCCCAGGAGAAGCCACCGCAACACTCACTGGTTCATTCTTGCCAACCTGAATTCGGTAGCGGGAGATGAAGTTAGGTTTTCCGGTTGTGTCAACCACCAGGAGGAGCCCATTGAAGCTCCAGAAGACCAGGCTCGGTACTTGGGTGACACCTGAGGTTGGGGAGCAGAAGGAAACAATCAGGGGACTCGAGGTTCTCGCAGCACATGTATTAACTGAATGCAGCTTGATGGTGACTAAGGCTGCGTGGTAGACAGTCCCTTGCCAGGGAGGTCTTGGTGCTCCAGGCCAGAGGGCCTTAGTTGTAAAATGGAGACCACAACCTTCTAGGTGGTTGAAGACAAAAAAATTTAAAAAAATTTTTTTAATTGTTAAATAGAAATAAAACTTGGGGCGCCTGGGTGGCTCAGTCGTTAAGCGTCTGCCTTCGGCTCAGGTCATGATCCCAGAGTCCTGGGATCGAGTCCCACATCGGGCTCCCTGCTCGGCAGGAAGCCTGCTTCTCCCTCTCCCACTCCCCCTGCTTGTGTTCCTGCTCTCGCTATCTCTCTCTCTCTGTCAAATAAATAAATAAATCTTAAAAAAAAAAAGTATAAAAAAATAGAAATAAAATTTATAATAAATATATAATCCATAAATACAATAATGAATAAATAAACTACAAATAAATTTAGGTTGACATCTGGGAGTCAGTGCCCATTGAACACTTTATGAATTCCCAAGGAAGGGAGAAGCAGAGGAAGTGCTTGGTAGGATAGGGTTCCCAGTGAGCACTGGACTAGGAGTCAGTCAGGAATCTAATCCCTATGACCCTATTAACTGTGCAGTGGGATTAACTTCAGGCATCTAGCCAGCCATTCCCAAAGTGGAAAACTCATCTCTCAAGGCGCTCCTTGGTTAAACAGTGTTCATACCCTGCTTTCTTGGAGAGCCATGGTCCAGACTAGCCTGCTAATGGCTCTAAGAATTCCTGCAGCAGGGAAACCCATTTGACTTTGTTAAGCCCAGCCTTTCCCAGTCTTTTTTTACCCAGGAACTCTATTTTGTCAGAACACCTAAGAATAGGATGGCTATGCCCGGGACAGTTTCAATTTACATCAGGCAGTCTAGCCTAATTATTAACTAACACTTCATTTACTCTCACAAATGTCCCTCTTTGGATGATAAATTGTACAGCCACCCCACCCATTCACATCTCACAACACTGTTCTGCAGGATACTTTAGAAACTGCTGATCCACACTTAAAAAATTGAGATACGGCTTTTTTTGCTTTGTATCCCACCTTCCTGTAAAGTCATTCCGAGAATCTCTGATCTCTGTGAACAAGCACTTTGTCCACGCTTATTGGCAGTTATTCAAATGAAAATACAATGTTACCTAACTCTTACACTATTAACTTTGTCCATGTCTTGCCTCCTCCTAAATATCCCAAGGGGCAAGGGCATTTTACTTTGTGTCTCTGTACTGTTCCTCCCATACCCTTCTTGCCCCTACCAGAAGCCCCAGGGCCTATGGCAGTTGGGGCCTGAAAAATACTTGGCCAGCACAGTGGGGAAATATGATTAACACAATATCTTAGGGAGCAATTTGGCAGTATCCAAAGAAGAAAAAAAGAGAGTGACAGAAACAGGTGGAAAAAAAAAAAAAAAAAAGAAAGAAAAAGGCCACACATGTCCATACACATATACATCCATTACTGCGTTAAAAAAAATCACAATAGAACACTTAAGGAGACTGAAAAAAATAGTTGGTATCTTAAAGTTCACTCATATATCCAATATAGATTCTTCTATATTTATACTAATTTATATAATATTTATACAATTTATACTAATATAGTAACTGGTTATTTCTTGGATATGAGAGTGGGTGATTTTCACTTTCTTTAGGCTTATGTGAATTGTCTGATGTTTATTTTTAACAATGAACATGTATTTACTTTTATTCTCAGAAATCACATGCTTTCTTATTTTGGAAAAAAAAAGAAAATGTTAGCTTGGTGGTTGCTAGTAGGCCATCCATCAAGGTAGCGCCTCCTTATATATCCAAAGGCTCCTTGAGGAATACAGAATAAAAGCCCCAACAAGAGAAGATCTTGCACTTTTTTCCAGCTGTAACACTTAAAATTGCAAACATTTATCTCCTTTGTATTTGCTTTTCATTGGGCTGAAAGGCAGTTTTCCCATCATTGTAACAGGAATATATCAGATGTTTTCCCACCACTTTCCCCATATATGTTTGTAATCTGCATTGTTCTTTTCAGTGACTCTTCAATGACAGCTTGCATTGAACCTGTCCTATCTAATGTTTAGCCTGTTTTCAGAGTTCTTCCAGCTGAAAACAATTGTCAGGGACATTTTATTTGTACTTTTGCTCTGTGACAACTGGCACTTTTTTTTTTTTAATCTCCCCTTCTAGACTGTGACATAGTTTTTTTATTATTATTTTTTAAAATATTTATTTATTTATTTTGAGACAGTGTGTACACGTGGGAGGCAGGGGAAGGGGGGGAGAGGAGCAGAGGGAGGGGAGGCAGAGAATCCCAAGCAGACTCCCCACTGAGTGCCGAGCCTGCTTCAGGGCTCCATCCCAGGACCCTGAGATCATGATCTGAGCCGAAATCAAGAGTCAGACGCTTAACCGACTGAGCCGCCCAGGTGCCCCTGTGACATAGTTTTTGTAAATGAGGTAAACACTTTATCTTAAATATCTCTACATCCTCTGTAAAAATTTGGCACAGAGTAACATTAATAAATATTCTTTGAGTGAGTGAACCTGTGATTGAGGACATTCACCATTCTAGGTAATGCTGTTATAAATATCTATGCCTTTTTTCTTCCACATTTTCTTTGGCTTGTTGTGAGTCATTCACAATGTCAGTAAATATTTATTAGGTGACCACTCGCTGTCAAGCCCCAAGAGCTAGATTATACCAGGGATGAGGACACAGTCTCATGGGAGATAGAGCAGCCCTGTGTGCTTGTGGACCTGATATCCAGACGCAGGATTATTACTCTAAACATGCATTCATTTTCACACACACGGGTTTTTTTGTTTTTTTTTTTAATTTTTCTATTTTGGGGGGGAGGGAGTCTCAGGTTCTTTTCTTAGATATCCTTAGGCATCCATTTCAGACTGCCTATGATTAGCACTCTTTGGGATTACCACTGTCTTAAACTTTTCAGTCTTCATTCCTTGGAATAAGGAGCTGAGAAATCAAAGTAGAGAAGTAAACCACAGACAAAGAATTAAACTATGATCATGTACCCAAATCCTAAGCACTCGTGGTCTGGGAACCTCACCTGTAATGTAGAGGGTCCACTCCTTCCCTTCGAATCTTGACAGCAGCCTCTCCCACTGGACTTGCCAAAAATAGCCAGAAGTGCCCCCAAATCTCTGAAGATGCCTTGGAAGAAAAACCATTCGGGTTTCTGGGTGAAGACTGGTGGGTGGATAGCTGCTTACCCCATGCTCCGCCTCCGGACCCCCAGCACATTGCCCGCAGGTCCTGAATGCAAGCTGGCTGCACAGACTTACCATGTGACTGTGTTCCAGAAGGCCACAAGCAAGAGAAGGCCACAAGCAAGAGAAGGCCAGAGGCCAGGATGAAAGCTGTCCTCCTCATGGAGCCCCAGATGTGTCCCTCCTAGAGGAGGACGAGGAAGTGTCAGGCCCCATCAAGCCTCCTGCTGTCGCAGGCAGCTCACACCGAGTCCTGGCAGGGAAGATGTGGGATCGGGATCTCAACCATGTCAGCCTTGCACATCTACTGGCCTTTTCCCAGCCTCTATGGGAGGCTTTTTTTTTTTTTTTTTTAAGATTTTATTTATTTATTTGAGAGAGAGAGAGAATGAGAGAGAGCACATGAGAAGGGGGAGGGTCAGAGGGAGAAGCAGACTCCCCGCCGAGCAGGGAGCCTGATGCAGGACTCGATCCAGGGACTCCAGGATCATGACCTGAGCCGAAGGCAGCCGCCCAACCAGCTGAGCCACCCAGGCGCCCTGGGAGGCTCTTCCTTATCAAGAGCTAGTGGGCTGTACATGGGTATGTTTATGAAAATAGGAGTTCAAGGTTGGGGGAGGGAAGAGAATAAACCTGACTCCAGAGAAACTAGCAGGCAGGCAGTTCTGTCACCCTGAGAAGGACAGGTGAGCCTTCCCCAGCAGTGAGGCTTTATCACCGGTCCTCTTGTGCAACAGAGATGCTCATTCTCTGTGCTTTGGAATCACCTGGGAGCTTTTAAAAAAAATCTCGATGCCTGGGTTCCTCCCCCACCTGATTACTTAAGATCTCCAGGGTGGGACCTGGGTCTCTATGTTTTTTTTTTTTAAAGCTCCCCAACTAATTCCAGTGGGCAGGCAAGGCTGAGAGAGCCATCACAGAAAGATCTGCAGGAGCTGTTCATGGGCCAGGCTTCTTTCCCCATCGCCATCCCCCTCTTGTTTGTGAAGAAAAGAATGAATGAACACACGCTCTGACTTTTAATAATTCCTCCGCTTCTGGTGAGAGGAGCCTGGTTTGCCAGCTCTGCAGGCTAATGAGCAGTTCTAGGGCAATGAACAGAGACCTGGCAATGACCGGGAGGTCCCTGACCTAGTCTCCTCCAAGAGTCTGAAGTAGAGATCATTGCAAGCTCGATGGTCAAACGAGGTGCCCGATTTGGAGAAGGAAAATGCTACCGGCTATGTCACCAACTTCCATTGTACTGTGGGCAGAAATTACAAATGTCCCTTCCCTCTGCTATTTCTAAGCCCAGGTGGAGTCTGCGTATATCCTTTCCTGGGAGAGAACTGGATGTGGCAGTCCCTCTAGGTGTGTGCCTGAAGTTCCTCGGCAGGTCGTGAATCGGACCGCGGGCACGGGCTCAGGGGGATGTTGGGGGAAGGGAAGCTGCTCTAATAGGATGCTGTGTTTTAATCCAGACTTCGGAGCTCTGAAGGAGCACGCTGGTTGGACTGACCCATTCAGAGCACCCTGAATCTGCCCCGGATTGTTTACTTTCAGCTTACCCCCTCCCACTTCTGATCAAAAGACCCAAGAGAACGAAATTGTTTTCCGTGGCCAGTGAAAAGTTTTTGAAGCGCTAGTGCTCCTCAGGTCCTGAGTTCTGAAAATGAACTTTTCCCTCTCTCCTTAGGGCTGGATGGGTAGGACCAATCAGAGGAACTTACTCAAGCAGGCCACTGAAAGGTCACCCTCAAGCTTGCCAGACATTTAACTTGGGCTTTGCAGTTATTCCTTTTTTAGTATTCAGAGGACCCTTTTCATGAATTTTTCCAGACTCGCTAAGAATTTTTCATTTGAGTGTAATCAGATCAAGTTAAATCAAATTAAAAACCTCAATTTCGCATATACGATTAGCTATTTTTTTTTCAGGGATTGTGTTTTCTCTCTTTCTGGCAGCCCAAGTGAAAGGACTATAAACAGGCCAAAGGTCTCTGTGAAGTACAAGAGCACAGGGCAGATGTCAGCTGGGGTCAAGAGCTGGTTCCCCAGGGGCGCCTGGGTGGCTCAGTCCGTTAAGTGTCTGCCTTTGGCTCAGGTCATGATCCCAGGGTCCTGGGATCAAGCCCCACATCGCGCTCCCTGCTCAACAGGAGGCCTGCTTCTCCCTCTCCCACTCCCCCTGCTTGTGTCCCCTCTCTCGCTGTGTCTCTCTGTGAAATAAATAAATAAGATCTTTAAAAAAAAAAAAGAGCTGGTTCCCCAGCCCCCAGTGGGCTTCTCCCATCTCTGGAGCAGCTATAGAAAGGGGTGGTCTCAAAGGCCTGAGGGATGGGACATTCTTAGGGGCCAAGAGACAGCGGAGGACAGCTATCAGGCTTTTCAGCTACTCCTCCCCAGTGATGCTCCGTCACGCGGGCAAAGGGGCTTGAGTTACATGGCAGCCGGGAGTCCAGGCTTTGCTTAGCTACTGAAATGAACACACCACCAATGTGTCAGCTACCCCTAAACCTTGGCGGGGGGACCTCAGATACGCAGCACGTGCCGCTATGGAAGGAGTCAGTGGCTGCCTTCTCACTAGTACGGTGTTGGTATTTACCTGCTTTGCCTTCTCATTCCGTTGCATTCTTCTAGCTTCTCCCTTCATCTGGAATAAGAAAGCACCAGTGAGTCATGATGTCGTGTTCGGAGGCAGCTAAGGAAGTAGAGACCGAAGAAAGTCAAGGTGAATGGCTTGCTGTGGTTTTTAATGCTGACTACTCATTAAAATCATCTGGGAGGTTTCAGAACCTCTGTCCGGGCTCCACCTCTGGAGATCGGTAATTCGAATCAGAGTTGGCAATGGGGGACTCCATCTGCATGGAAATGGCTCTCTACAGATGAGCTGTGACAAATACTTCTTTGGAGTAGCTTCACTCCCTGCCTCAGCACAGCCCTGTCTCATTCAGAAGCAATCTTTCCTCTGCATCTCCACTGTGCCCTAACTGCTGATGGCCTATAGCCCCAAGATAGCAGGACTGAAGCCAGGGCCTGGCCCCTGATTTGCGTGGACAGCTTGTGTAAGCTCTGTGAACTCAGGTTACCACACACAGGGGCTGTATTTGCAATGCTAACTGAAATGGAAGCATTTTGTAAACTGTTCAACAGGATTCAAATGCTGGGTGTATTTATATGGAGGAATCATTATGACAGTGAGTCTGGAAATCTGACACCTTTCCTCAAAGTTCTATCATAATTGTGTCTATCACTTACTGGTTTTATGACCTTGGTCAAAATGTCCTCTCTGAGCCTCAGTTTCCTTCACTGTAAAATGAGAATAACAACAAGGTCTCCTACTTGCGTGATCTCTGCTGGAAGGCTGTAAGGGCCATGAGGACGGGCTCTCTGGTGTGTCTTTCCTTGGGCCTTCACAAAGGAGGTGCGTAGCACATGTATAGTGAGTGGATGAATCAAGCAGAGGCTCTGGTTCGTTGGGCCAGTGTTTGCCCAGATGTACCTCGGGAACCCCTACATCAGAGTCACCCCGGGGGTTGGCCGAAACCCAGATTTCCAGGCTATGCTCAAAATCAGTCTCCTAGGGTAGAGCCTAGGAAACTGCATTTTAGACTTGTTCCTGATGTGGTTCTGGGGACTTCACTGTCAACCCCGGCTAGGTAAGCTATGGGCTGTGGGCTGGTAAAGGGAATGGCCATCACCTGAGGTGTATGGGGCTCAGGCTGGCTCTGCCAAATGTCTTCTCACCCAGTCCCAACTCCCACCCCTTCTTCTTGGCAGAAAACAGAAGCTACAAGTTTGCATTGCTACAGAACAGTACTTCTCTAAGTCTACCCACTGAGGGAGATAACACCAACATCATGAAATCTAACCCATGTAATTTAATCAACCAAGCACAATACATTGGGACCTACTCTGTACCAGGCCCTGTGGCCTTGGATGGATACTGCAGGGCACACAGGGAAATCCATGGCAAGGACACTGCCTTCAAGTGGCTCATAGTCCAGCTGGAACCAAGCCTAGCAATATAGGATGAAGTCCAGCAACTGGGAAGAGAATGGCAAGAAAGGCCTCAGGATGGGGACAGAGAGGAACCGGGCTTGGAGCTGGGGCTAGAATTCAAGATAGCACAGGCCTATTAAGGTCCGGAACAAGAGAATTATGTTCATCATCACCACTACTTTTAACATTCAGTGGGGCATTCCTCAACACAACTAGACAAGAGAAGATAAGCAAAGGTAAAGAATTGGGAAGGAAAAGGTAAAATCCTCACTATTTTTGGAGGCAGTAATCCCCTCCTAATTGTGGGGGATACATTCCAAGACCCCCGGTGGGTATCTGAAACTGCAGGTAGCACTGAACCCTTTATATACTATGCTTTTTCCTATACATCTATACCTATGGTAAAGTTTAATTTATAAGTTAGGCATGATAAGAGATTATAACAATAAAATAGAAGTTATAACAAAATACTGTAATAAAAGTTACGTGAATGTGAGTGATCTCTCTCTCTCTCTCATCCTTCCTCAAAATATCTACGATATTTATCCTTCAGGACAGAAATCTTTTGTCCAAGTTCGTACTCTTCAGTGTGGCACCCATAGATAGGATGACACCAGCCACAGATTTGCCTTTGCTCATTGTCACTGCAGTTTGGTCCCAGGTTGCCATGGCATCAACCTTAGCCCATATTCTCAAGGAATAAATTGCTTGTTGTTATTTTTTTTTAATTGCTTGGTTTTTCTTTCTTTTTTATTGTTATGTTAATCCCCATACATTACATCATCAGTTTTTGATGTAGTGTTCCATGATTCATTGTTTGCGTATAACACCCAGTGCTCCATGCAGAACGTGCCCTCTTTAATACCCATCACCAGGCTAACCCATCCCCCCACTCCCTCCCCTCTAGAACCCTCAGTTTGTTTCTCAGAGTCCATAGTCTCTAATGGTTCATCTCCCCCTCCGATTTCCCCCCTTCATTCTTCCTCTCCTGTTATCTTCTTCTTCTTCTTTTTAAACATATAATGTATTATTTGTTTCAGAGGTACAGATCTGTGATTCAACAGAATTGCTTGGTTCTTCTGATGGTTTGTGTCATTGTATGTGTTCTTGCAACTTCTATGTGCCCTTCTGGATGCCCTTTTTAATCTTGGCCTTTTACAGTAGCTTCCTGGCATTGCTATTGTTTTTGCAACAAACTTAAAGCATTTCTCCATATTTGAAACAATGCCATGATTTTCCTGGGAAAGTGGCAGACTGGGACAGTGGCTGGATTTGGTAGTTGGGTAGTTGGGGATGGCACTTGCCCTGAGTTGCCAGCCAGCTTGACTTTGTTCAGTATCCCACTACTTGTCTTACCTTAAAGCTCTAATAATTACAAGTGCAGTGCTAGCACATGAATAGGCAGACATATATAACAGATGAGAAAGCCCAGAAACAGACACATATAAGAATTTTTTTTTAAGATTTTATTTATTTGACAGAGAGAGACATAGTGAGAGAGGGAACACAAACAAGGGGAGTGGGAGAGGGAGAAGCAGGCTTCCCGCTGAGCAGGGAGCTCGATGCGGGGCTCGATCCCAGGACCCTGGGATCATGACCTGAGCCAAAGGCAGATGCTTAACGACTAAGCCACCCAGGTGCCCCCACATATAAGAATTTAATATATGATAAAAGGAAATCAATATAAATGGACTTTGAACTGAACAGATGCTGAACCTCCCCTATGATAAGAGAAATGTGATTTAAAAGTACAATGAGAGGGGGCACCTAGGTGGCCCAGTCAGTTGAGCTGCCAGTTCTTGGTTTTGGCTCAGTTCATGATCTCAGGGGTCATGGGATTGAGCCCAGCATCAGGCTCCTCACTCAGTGCAGTCTGCTTCCCCTCTCCTTCCCCCTCTGCTCCTCTCCTCATTCTCTCTCTCTCTCTCTCTCAAATAAAATATTAAAAAAAAAATAAAACTACAGTGAGAGATTACTTCTCACCCATTAGCATGGCAACAATCCAAAAGTTTGATCACATGCTATGCTGGTAAGGCTGAGGGGACTTTAAAATTGTATTTGTTCTCATTTTTTTCTTAAGATTTTATTTATTTATTTGACAGAGAGCACAAGCAGGGGAGCAGCAGAGGGAGACAAGCAGGCTCCCCGCTGAGCAGGGAGCCCGATGTAGGGCTCGATCCCAGAACCCTGGGATCATGACCCCAGCAGAAGGCAGATGCTTAACTGACTGAGGCACCCAGGCCTCCCTCAATAAAGACATTTTTTTTTAAGATTTTATTTATTTATTTGACACAGAGAGAGATAATGAGAGCAGGAACATAAGCAAGGGGAGTGGGAGAGGGTGAAGCAGGCATTTTTAAAGAAAGAGAACATGGGTCAGTTAAAATCTTAAAAAAAAATGTCTTGGAGAGCCTGGGTGGCTCAGATGGTTAAGCGTCTGCCTTCGGCTCAGGTCATGATCTCGAGGTCCTGGGATCGAGCCCCATGTAGGGCTCCCAGCTCAGCGGGGAGTCTGATTCTTCCTCTCCCTCTGCCTCTCCCCCTGCTTGTGCTCTCTGTCTATCAAATGAATAAATAAAATCTTAAAGTCTTTATTGATACACAATTTACATACCATATGACTTACCCATTGAAAGTGTACATTCATTCAGCTTTGAGTATGTTCATGGAGTAGTGTACTCATCACCAGGATTTATGTTAGAACATTTTTATTACCCCAAAGGGAAACCCTGTACCCTTTACTCATCAATTTCCAATCCCTTTCTCCTTCCACCCCCCACTCTAGCCCCAGGCATCCAGCAATCCACTTTCTGTCTCTCAGGATTTGCCTATTCTGGACATTTCAGATCAATGGAATCGTACGCTATGTGGCTCTTTGTGAGCAGCTTCTTTCACTGAGCATGTTTTCAAGGTTCATCCATGTTGTAGCATGGATCAGTACTTCATTTTTTATTGCCAAGTGATGCATTACATTTCATTTATCCATTCATCTGTCTACGGACATTTGGGCTGTTGCCACTCTGTAGCTCTCATGATAATGCTGCAGTAAACATTCATGCACAAGCTTTTGCGTGGACACGTTTTTATTTCTCCTGGATATGTGCCTAGGGGCAGAAGTGCTGGGTCCTACAGTCATGACATTGAACCTTTTCGGGAATGTAAAGTGGTTGCACCATTTTACATTTCCAACAGCAGTGTATGAGGGTTCTAATCTTAGATCCTCACCAACACTATTTATCATCCCTATGGAAGAGTGTCATAAACTGGCTAAAGAGGACCATTACAGATCATGTGGTCCTGCCCTGTGATGAGGATGAAGGAACCTAGATAAAGGAGGGCAGGCAACCTCCCAAAGTTTGTAGATGGCACAGCCAGGATCAGAGGCTGGCTTCCAATATTTCTAAGGATATTTTATTCTTTTGTGTTTGATTGTACTCGGTTGTATGATTCTAGGTGCATGTTTACCAGCTATGACCTTCGGAAATACCGCTTCTCTCTCTCTTTTTTTTTTTTAGATTTTATTTATTTATTTGACAGAGAGAGAGACAGCGAGAGAGGGAACACAAGCAAGGGGAGTGTGAGAGGGAGAAGCAGGCCTCCTGCGGAGCAGGTAGCCCGATGCGGGGCTCGATCCCAGGACCCCGGGATCAT